CAGCTGCTCCTCCGCTGACTCTTGACCTTTCTGGTTCTCAATGGCAGGAGCAAGAGTGACCTGTTGTATGGCATGTATTCCCAGGGGTTTCTCCATGTTTGAATGATTTAGACAGGTCTGTAGGTGGGCATCTGCAGCCAGTGCATGGTGGGCCAATTGTGTCAATGTTTCTCTGTGTCATGGTAGTTCTCAACAAAGCAACGGTGGCCAGCCTGAGGGCTGGCGTGCAACAGCCCTCACTGCCGTGTGGCTTCCAGTGCACCAGAGCCCCTCCTCCCAGGTGACTGTTAGGCTAGGGGCCTGCCCAAGGGCCAGCCGCTCCCGCCCTGTGGCCTCCCGGGCACCTGGGGCCCTCCCTCCGGGGGCCTATGAGGCAGGAAGCTAGCCAGCCAGAAGACCAGCTCTCCCCGCCCGAGGCTCCCTGTGCACCGGAAGCCCTCCTTCCAGGGAACTACAAGGCCGGGAGTGAGCCACTGGTCCCACAAATTTTGACATGTTATTTTTTTATCTTATTTAAAATATGTTTTAGATTGTCTTGGGATTTCTTTTGGCCCATAGGTTACTCAAAAATTTATTTTTAATTTTTTAAATTTAATTTTCCATATATTTTTCTGTTGTTGATTTTAATTTAATTTTGTTAGGATTAGGGAAAATACTTTGTATGATTTGAACCTTTTAAAATGTGTTAAGATTTGTTATTATGGACCAGAATATGATCTAGCTTGGTAAATGTTCTATATGTATTTTAAACAAGTATGTTCTGTTGTTCAGTGGTGTGTTCTATAAATGTTAATTAGATATAGTTAATAATATTGTTCAAGTGTTTTGTGTCCTTACTGATGTTCTGTCTACTAATTCTACCAATTATTAAAGAAGATATTGAAGCTAGTTGAGCTGGTACCTGCCTGTAATCCCAGCACTCAAGGAGGTTGAGGCAGAAAGATTGCAAGTTTGAGTCCTGTTTGGGGAATTTAGTGAGACCTTATCTTGAAATAAAAAATAAAAAGGGCTGGGGATGTAGCTCAATGGTAAAGTGCTCTAGGTTCAGTCCTCATTGCAAGGGGGAGTAAAATCTCCAGTTACAGTTGTGGATTTGTTTATCCTTTCAGTTCAACCAGTTTTTGCCTCGTGTACTTTAAAGCAGAATTATTAGATACAAAATCTTTACGATAGTTTTATCCTATTAATGAATTTACCTCTTTGTCATTATGAAATAACCTAATTTATCACTGGTAAAATTTGCTCTGAACTAGACTTTGTCTAGTATTAATATAGTCAGTCACCCAAGCCTTCTTTTAGCTAATTTTAATGTATTTTTGTATCTTTTAATTTAACTTACATAAGTCTTTCTTTTTTATACAATTTGAAAATTTCTGCCTTTAAAATTAGGATGCTTGCATCATTTGCATTTAATGTAATTATTGATATGGTTGGGTTTAAATCTGTCATTTTACTGTCTGTTTTCTATTTGTCCCATTCGGTCTTTGTTCTCATTTTCCTCTTTTTCACTGATTACATTTAATCTGTGTTACTGGCTTTTTAGTTATGATCCTTTGTTTTTCTTTCTTAGTGATTGCTTTAAGATGTATGGTATACATTTAATTTTTCACAGTCTATCTTCAAGTAACTTGATACCATTTCACATATGGTATAAAAATTTTACAATCATATGCTTATTTTATTTCTATATGTGTTTATAAACTCCATAAGATACTGTTATTTTGCTTTAAATAGTTATGTTTTAAATATATTTTAATACTAGGTGTAGTGGCACATGCCTATAATCCCAGCTATTCACTAGGCTGAAACAGAAGGTTTGAAAGTTCAAAACCAGAATGGGCAACTTAACAAGAACTTGTTTATATATCACACACACTGGCTGGATGTAATGGCACAGGCCTATATAATTCCAGCAGCCTGGAAGATTGAGGCAGGAACCCAGCCTAGGCAATTTAACAAGACCCTGCCTTAAAATTTTAAAATGGAAAAAAAAAGGGTTGGGGATGTACCTTAGCATTAGACTGCTTGCCTAGCATGCATGAGGCCCTGGATTCAATCCCCATTACTAAAAACAAATGTAACATATGAGAAATATATTTTAGCATTTTCTGGACATTTTCTTTTAATTGATTTTTTTTAAATTTAATTTTATTGTGGTCAGAGAACATATATTTTTAAATAATTTGATTTTGTTTTAAAGCTTAGTTTATCATCAATCTTAGTGAACCTTCTGCGTGCACTTTAGTGTTTGTTTTACATTTTTCCTGGTGTAAATTTTGTTTAAATGCCAATTAAACTAAAGTAGTTAATATTATCATTTCTTTTATTTTTATTTTTATTTTTTATTTTTTGGTATTGGGAATCAAACTCACAACCTTGCACTAGCCAGACAGGCCCTATGCCACTGAGCTATATTCCCGGCCCTCTTTTATATCTTTGTCTAACTTGTCTATCAATTACCAGGAGAGGTGTATTAAGATCTCTAGCTATAATCATGGATTGTTCTACTTTTCCTTTTAAATCTGTCACTATTTGCTTCATATATATTGATGACCTGTTTTTATATATACATATATAATATATAATATTTTATATATATAAATATTTTATTTCCTAGTGTTTGACCTTTTATCCTCATTGTGTCTCTTTTGTTTCTACATACTGCTTTTTTAAAGGCTATTTTATCTTACATTAGGAGAGCTATTGCAGTTTTGTTACCCTTAAGATGTGTATCATTTCCAGCCACTTGCATACTCATTGAGGCTTTTAGTTCTTGTTTTTGGTGTTTGCAGTTTTATAATACCTTACTTTTACCCTATTTGTATTTTACCCTCTTTGTATTTAAAGTTTGCCTCTTATAGACAACACATAGTTTGGTTTGGATTTTAATATAGTCTCACGATCTTTGCCTTTTGATTAAAATGGTTTGTCTACATGTATTGAATGTGATTATTGATATGACTACATTTAGGTCTTCCCTTTTGCTATTAGCTTTTAATATTTCTCAGCTAGTTTTTATTTATCTTTCCATCCTTCTCCGCTTTCTTTTGTGTTAATTATATAT